TGTGTTGCTTTATCTGTTTTTGGTATTAGGGTGATGCTGGCTTCATAGAATGAGCTTGGAAGTGTTCCTTCCTCTTGAATTTTTTGTAGTAGTCTGAGGAGGATAGGTTTTAGTTCTTCCTTGAATGTTTGGTAAAACTTCCCTGTGAAGCCATCTGGCCCTGGGCTTTTGTTTGCTGGAAGCTTTTTGATGACTGCTTCAATTTCTTCCATAGTTATTGGCCTATTGAGATTTTTAGATTCTTCCTGATTGAGTTTTGGAATGTTGTATTTTTCTAGGAATATGTCCATTTCCTCCAGGTGGTCTAGCTTGTTGGAGTAGAGTTCTTCATAGTATTTTTTAACAATCGTTTGTATTTCTGTGGGGTCTGTTGTTATTTCCCCTCTATCGTTTCTGATTTTGTTTATTTGGGTCTTCCCTCTCTGTTTCTTGGTGAGCCTGGCCAGAGGTTCATCAATCTTGCTTATCCTTTCAAAGAACCAGCTCTTGGTTTCATTGATTTTATGTATTGTTCTTTTGGTCTCTATGTCATTTATTTCTGCTCTAATCTTTATTATCTCCTTCCTTCTGCTCACTCTGAGCTTTTCGTGCTCTCTTTCTAATTCTTTGAGATGTAGAGTTAGATGATTTACTACCATTTTTTCTTGTTTGTTTGAGGTAGGCCTGTAGAGCTATAAACTTCCCTCTCAGGACTGCTTTCATTGTATCCCATAGGTTTTAGATTGTTGTGTTTTCATTGTCATTGGTTTCCAGGATGTTTTTAATTTCTTCTTTGATCTCATTGGTAACCCAATCATTATTTAATAACATGCTATTCAGCTTCCAAGTGTTTGAGTGTTTTGGATCTTTTTTATTGTAGTTTATTTCTAATATTATGCCATTGTGGTCTGTGAAGATGCTTGGTATGATTTCAATCTTCTTGAATTTGGGGAGACTTTGCTTGTGATCCAATATGTGGTCTATTTTTGAAAATGTTCCATATGCAATTGAGAACATATATTCTGCAGTTTGGGGTGAAATGTTCTGAAGATGTGAATTCAGTCCATCTGCTCTAGTGAGTCATTTAGGATTGCTGTTTCTTTGCTGATTTTTTGTCTAGAGGATTTATCCAGTGATGTCAGTGGTGTATTAAAGTCCCCTACTATGATTGTATTGTTGTCGATCTTTCCCTTGATATCTTCCAGGAGTTTTTTATGTATTTGGGTGCTCCCACATTGGGTGCATATATGTTTATCAGAGTTATATCCTCTTGTTGTATCGATCCCTTTAGTATTATGAAGTGGCCTTCCTTTTCTCTTGTTATGGCCTTCACTTTGATGTCTATTTTGTCAGATATAAGTATTGCTACCCCAGCTTTATTTCATTTCCATTTGTCTGAATGATATTTTTCCATCCCTTCACTTTCAGTCTGTGTGAATCCCTTGTTCTGAGGTGGGTCTTTTGTAGACAGCATATACATGGGTCAGGTTTTTTTATCCAATCAGCCACACGATGTCTTTTGATTGGAGCATTTAGTCCATTTACATTTAAAGCAATTATTGAAAGGTACTTGTTTGTAGCCATTTTTATTTTTTTGAGCCTGTGTTCCTTCTTACCTTTTTATTTCTTCTTTTTACACGAGTCCCTTTAGCATTTCTTGCATTCCTGGGTTGGTGGTGATAAACTCCCTTAGCCTTTTTTGTCTGCAAAGCTCCTGATTTCCCCTTCAATTTTGATTGATAGTCTTGCTGGATAAAGTATTCTTGGATTCAGTCCCTTGCTTTGCATCACTTTGTATATCTCCTTCCATTCCCTTCTAGCTTGATGTGTTTCTGTTGAGACATCATTTGATAATCTGATGGGGGATCCTTTGTAGGTAACTCTCTGTCTCTCTATTGCAGCCTTTAAGATTCTCTCTTTTTGTTAACATTTGCCATTGTAATTATGGCATGTCTTGGTTTCGGTCTTTTGGGATTCACCTTGCTTGGGACTCTCTGTACTTGTGTAACTTTTTTCTTCCCCATATCAGGGAAGTTTTCTGTCATTATTTCTTCAAATAAATGTTCTAATCCTTGCTTCTCTTTTGTCCTTCTGGCAGCCCTATTATACGTATGTTATTTCGTTTTGCATTGTCCCAAAGCTCCCTTAGGCTCTCCTCCTGTTTTTTAATTTTTTTCTCTAGTTGCTGTTCAGATTGGGCTTGTTTCTGTACTTTATCTTCTAACTCAATAATTCGATCCTCTGCTTCTTCCAGTCTACTGTTGAAGCCTCCCATAGTGTTTTTTATTGTAGCTATATTATTTTTTATTTCTTCCTGATTCTTGCATAGGTTGTTGATTTTCTCGTCCATCTGGTGTATGAAGTGTATGACCATTACTCTGAATTCTTTTTCTGTCATGTTGCATGCTTCAATTTCACTAATTTCCTTTCTTGGCGACTCCTCATTTTCTTTCCTCTGGGGATTGTTTCGTTGTCTCCCCATTCTGACTATCACCAGAATGTTCAAATGTCAAGTTGCAGGGGCCTGGGCCATGTGTGGTGGTTGTTTTGCACCCCCCAAGTGTCACTGAAGAGCTCTGACACCAAGACGTGTGGCTGCTGTGGGTTGGTGGGAGCCACGTTCACCCCAGGTCAGAATCTCAGATGTTTAGTGTGGCCTCATGTGCGCACCTAGAATCAGGGACCGTGCCTGCACCACGTTGAAACAGAGAACTTGCTGGGGTGTGCCAAAAATCAAAGTGTCCTAGTGCATGTCAGGAGTCAGAGGCTCCCTGTGTCCACGCCGAGAACCAAGTATCAGAGTCTCTGTTCCTTGGTTCTATCTTGAACCAAGAATCAGGGTCCCTCTGTGCGCATGTGCCAAGAATTGGAGTCTCTGGCTCTTAGTGTGATTGTACTTGGAATTAGGGATCCCAGGTGCATGCAATAAGAAACAGAGTCTAGTCCCTGGTGCTCATTGCTGCCTCTTGCGTGGAGATTCAGGGTCCCCGATCTGCTTGGGAGATCGGGTTGCACAGTCACACTGTGTTGGCAGGAGGCCCACTCCTGCCCTGTGGGAAACAGCCTTCTCTGTGTGCTTGCCCTAAATCAAAGTCAGGTGGCACTGCCGCTCAGTGTGAGTGTGGGGTCTGGTCACGTGAGTGTGCACTGCAGGAAGCAGACTCCCCGTGTCCAAGCACCCAGGTTCAAATTCAGTGCTGCCCCCCTGCATGGGTACAGGGTCTGGTTGTGGGGAACAAACTCCCCAAGTTCGCATGTTCAGGTTCAAATTCAGCGCAGTCTCCCTGTTTGGGTGCCGGGTCTGGTCATGGGAAGCAAACTCACCGGGTTCGTGCCCCAGGCTCAAATTCAGTGCTGTCTCCCCGCGTGGGCACGGGACCTGATCTCGGAAAACAATCTCCCCAAGGTTGTGCACCTAGGCTCAAATATAGCACACTCTCCCCACCTGGGCGCAGAGCCTGGGTGAGGGCAACAAACTCCCCGGGTTCGCACATCCAGGTCCAAATTCAGCGCAGCCTCTCTGCTAGGGTGCAGGGAGGGTCTGGTTGTGAGAAACAAACTCCCCGGGTCTGCACCCCCAGGCCCAAATTCAGTGCTGTCTCCCCGTGTAGGCATAGGACCCGGTCGCAGAAAACAGTGTCCCCAAGAATGCGCACCCAGGCCCAAACTCAGCAGTCTCCCTGCCTGGGTGTGTAGCCTAGTCACGGGAAATAGATTCCCCAAGTTCGTGCACTTCCAGACTCAAACTCAGCGTTGTCTCATTGCCTTGCGTGGGTGCGGGATCTGGTCCCAGGAAACAGTCTCACCAAGGATGTGCACCCAGGCTCAAATTCAACACAGTCTGCCCGCCCAAGGAGTCTAGTCATGGGAAACAAACTTCCCGTGTCCAACACCAAGGCTAAAAGTCAGACAGAGCTGCTGCTGCTGAGTGTGTGCAGACAGCCCCACTGTGTAGCTGGGGTCTGGCAGTTCCTATGCCGCTGCCCCGGGGGCGGCTGGGGAGGGGGATTGGCTTTGTGACTCACAGAAATCTGCGGCCGGGGTGCCTGGAGTCTTGGTATCCCTGGGTCTGCAGCTCTGGTCGCAGGTCTTCCACCAGAGTGGCTATGGGATTCCAGTTTGCTACCGAGACCAGACTGGGTGGTGGCAAGGCTAGGATCCCAGTCTCAAGCAGTTCTGTTCTTCAAGATGGCATGGTCTCCACGCCGCTGGTGTCCTCCCTGGAGTGTTTGCGGCGGCAGCTAGGTTTTGCCGTCTAAGACTGCCCAGATTGGCAGCCCCTTGAAAGACTTGCAGGATCTAACTGTCCCTATTTCACTCACACACACACACACCCACACACGTCCACACACTCCTCTATAGCTCCCTCACTCTCTCACACACTCTCCCTCCCTGCCTTCCTGCTGGTCACCATCTTTCCTCCCTCCATTTATTTTTTTATTTTTTAAATATTTTTATTGATTTTGGAGAGACGAGGGAGAAGAGAGGGATAGAAACATCAATGATGAGAGAGAATCATTGATCGGCTGCCTCCAGCACGACCCTACTGGGGTTCGAGCCTGCAACCCAGGCATGTGCCCTTGACTGGAATCGAACCTGGGACCCCTCAGTCCACAGGCCGACACTCTGTCCACTGAGCCAAACCAGCTAGGGTGACAGTTCATTTATTAAGACAATAAATTCTGCCGTAGCCGGTTTGGCTCAGTGGATAGACCGTCGGCCTGCAGACTGAAAGTTCCCAGGTTCGATTCCTGTCAAGGGCATGTACCTTGGTTGCGGGCACATCCCCAGTGGGAGGTGTGCAGGAGGCAGCTGATCGATGTTTCTAACTCTCTATCTCTCTCCCTTCCTCTCTGTAAAAAATCAATAAAATATATATTTTTAAAAAGACAATAAATTCTCCTTTGCTTCAGTGAGTTTGAAACAAACCTATTACTTAGCAATCAATAAAGAGTCCTAACAAAGCTCTTTCAAATGTTTCTAATCACCTTTGACTCACTATGCCTCTCTCATAGTCTCACCTGAGCCATCCTTTGAAATACTCATTGAATCCATTCCTTCCCTGTTGCTCACTGCTAGGACCCTGATCCAAATCCTTGTCATTCTTCCAGTTTTGAAGCTGGAAGAGACACCAGATGCCATCTAGTGCAGGGGATCCCCTACCTGGCTGCACATCATAATCATTGGAGGTGTTTGTTAATAAGTGCAAATGAGATTCTGATTCAGTGGGTCTTGGGTGAGACCCTGGAGCTTGCATATTAACACACATGCACTACAACCACCATAGTTCAGCTATAGTCAGGAACTAACAGTATTTATCTGAGCTGACATCTCACTTCTCTTCTCTCCCCCAAACTCTTCCCCCATACCCTTAGGAACACCAGCTCTATCCTCAGCCTTGTCTTGGGGTGTTCTCCATGCCTTTTGCCTTAATGAAAACTTGGCTGCCTTGAGAGGATGCTACCTCCCCCAGCAGATCCCTCCACATGGAAACTGTTCTTCCTCTCCTTTCCCAGGACCCTCAGGACAGCAGGTTGGGCTGGTATCCTCCTTGATCTTCCTTGTCACACACACACATGAAACATGTCTTCAGAGTGAAGTCTGTGGATGAAAGTATTGCACCTTCTCCCTGTTCTTGTTGGTTTCATCTCTCAGCTTCCTGGTTACACCTCTTCATTCACTGAAAAGTTAGGTCCCCACTCATGGTATTCCCTCCTTTCCAATTCCACTCAACATTCTTGGGGACTTCTACTACTATTTAGACCCTCCACCACCTTTTCCTTCATTCTACGTGAGATGCCCTTGTTGTGCTCAGATCCTGGACCTTTACATAAACTATGTCCTCTACCTGAAATGTTCTTCCCTGGATTTTTGCATGGCTACCTCTTCTCTTTTGGACAGAGGAATGGGTTTCCTTGATGACCTCATCAAAAGAATACCCTCTCTTTTATTCTCTGACATTGTCTTTGCTTATTCTTTCCAAAAACTTGCCTCTGCTGGTGATTACATATTCTTTTATTATAATTTACATCAAGTATACATTATATACAAACAACATAATATAAACAAATAAAATAAAATTTCTATCTTTAGAAAGAAAATTAAGGATTCCAACATGGCAGCAGATTAAGTGGAAGCTACATTTACACTCTCCCCAGAACCAAACAGAAATTCCAATTAAGATATAGAAAAATCATCATGAATAATCAACTGAAGATTAGCTGGAGAGAATCCTGATAACCAAGAATGGAAAGTGGAGACTGCATAGAGACTGGTAGGAAGTGTGGAAGTGTGAGAGGGCTGACAGGGCTCTCACAGATGGCACCTGAAGTCTGTAAGGATATCTCAGGTATGGGGGGTTCCCACTGAGAACTCTGGGGTATAAACCCAAAACTGGGTTCCCCAGCCCAGAGAACCAGAACTGAGAAAGGTGCCCACAGAATATCTAGTTGTGAAGAGCAGCTGGAAATGCAGGAACCCTCTTAAAGGGTCAACACACAAAATTTTGTGTGCAGTCACTCACCTTGGGCTCCAGCATATGAAGGACAGAGTGGACTAGAGCTATGTGAGGAGAATACAGGGTAGGAGGCTCTAAGGAAAGAGCTAAGAGAGCAGTATCCTGGATTCCTATGCAGAGCCAATCCCCCCACACTGCAGAGGACATCTTTCACAGGCAGACCTTAACCATCCAGGCAGCATTTGCCTGGGTGGGGGCAATTGCCCCACCCTGTTGGAAAATCACACACCACACCCAGCGGAGTTTATACCTTGCTGTGGTCTACAGCCTAAGGTATATTAAGAGACAGATTAACAATCAATCAGCCTGCAAGCAGAGGTGAATCTTGGGTGCTTTTGGTCTTTGCCTGTTCTGCTTCTGGACCAGGGGCTAGGAAAAGCAAAACTCGGTGTGCATCTACTCCTGTCCAAATGCACCCAGCCCCAGCACTGGGAGCCAGGAGCTGTAGATTACTAATAGCTCAAAACAGGTACTCAGGGCCACTCACAAACAGCATCTGACATTGGCCTGTACCAGAGACCCTCCAAAAACACTGGGAGTCATAGCAGATTTACCTAATACATAGGAAAAAAAAAAAGACAGGCAGCCAAAATGGGGAGACACAAAAGGGGGAGGGACGGGGAAGCCCCAAATAGAAGGGAAAAAATCTCCAGAAGAGATAAATGAAATGGAAATAAGCAATTTATCAGATACAGAGTTCAGAATAATGATTGCAAGGATGCTCAAAAGCGTGAGAAATATATAGAAACTAAGAAAAATGACTAGTCAGAAACAAGGAATGGCATAGCAGTAATAAAGAATACACTGAAAGGAATAACTGGTAGATTACAGGAAGCAGAGGATGGATCAGTGAATTAGAAGACAGGATAAAAAAATTACTCAATCAGAGAACTGAAAAAAAATTTAAAAACATGAGAACTGTTTAAGGGAGCTGTGGAACAACATGAAACCATAACACTATCTGCATCATAGGAATACCAAAAGGGGAAGAAACTGAGCAAGGGAAGGAGAACCTGTTTGAAGAAATAATGACAGAAAACTTCCATTATTCACCTGGAGATGGAAAACGTCACACAAGTCCAGGAGACACAGGGAGTCCCAAGCAAGAAGAACCCAAACAGGTCCACGTGCAGACACATCATAATTAAAATGCCAAAAATTAAAGACAAAAAGAGAATCTTAAAGGCAGCAAGAGAAAAACAATTTGTTACCTACCCAGGAGCTCACATATGATTTCTCATCAGAAACTTTACAGGCCAGAAGGAATGGCATGAAGTATTCAAGATAATGTAAAGGATTGGAAACCAAGATTACTATATCCAACAAGGCTATCATTCAAAATAAATGGTGAAATAAAGAGCTTCCCAGACCAAAAAATGGCTAAAGAAGTTTATCACCAACAAACCAGCATTGCAAGAAATGTTAAAGGGACTGCTATAATGAGAAAAAGAAATATATATATATATATATATATATATATATATATATATATATATATAGAGAGAGAGAGAGAGAGAGAGAGAGAGAGAGAGAGAGAGAGACATAGGTATAAAGAACAAAATGGCAGTAAATAAGTACCTATCAATAATAATCTTAAATGTAACTGGATTAAATTCTCCAATCAAAAGACACAGGGTAGCCCTGACTGGTTTGGCTCAGTGGATAGAGCATCGGCCTGCGGACTGAAGGGTCCTAGGTTTGATTCCAGTCAAGGGCATGTACCTTGGTTGCAGGCACATCCCCAGTGGGGGGTGTGCAAGAAGCAGCTGATCGATGTTTCTCTCTCATTGATTTTTCTAACTCTCTATCCCTCTCCCTTCCTCTCTGTAAAAAATCAATAAAATCTATTTTTTTTTAATAAGACACAGGGTAGAGAAACCAAGATGGCAGCATAGGTAAAAACACCTGAAAGTGCTGCCTCGCACAACCACTTCAGAAATACAACTAAAAGACAAAACAGATATCATCCAGAACCACAGGAAGGTTGGCTGAGTGGAAATTCTACAACTAGAAGGAAAGAGCAAAGCACACTGGGACTCAGAGGAGGGGTGGAAGTAAAGTGCAGAGATACGGAGGCACACGTGCAAAGGGGTGGCAACAGAGGACGCCGGTGTCTTTTTCAATCAGGAGGAAGTCTCAAGCTCCCAACAGCTCTGAACTCCAGTTCCAGATGAGTCCCTGGGGACCCAGACTCATACAGGGAGAAACTGGACTGTCTGGCATTGGGCAGAACTCGAGGGCAGATTTCTCTCAGAGGTGCTTGCAGTGATTACCACGGGACACAGAGACCCAGGGGCCTCTTAGGGTATGGAACCAAAAAAGACTCTGAATAGCTGCAGCAATCTTGAGAAAGAAAAAAAAAGTTGGAGGAATCACAATACCAGATATCATCAAGTTAGACTACAATGCCACTGTAATCAAAACAACCTGGTACTGGCATAAGAACAGGCATATAGGTCAATGGAATAGAACAGAGAACCCAGAAATCAACCCATGATATTACATTCGATTAATATTTGACAAAGGAGGCAAGAGCATACAATGGAGTGAAGATAATTGCTTCAATAAATGGTGCTGGGAAAATTGGACAGGTACATGCAAAATAAATAAAACTAGATCACCAACTTACACCATACACAAAAATAAACTCAAAATCAACAAAAGACTTAAATGTAAGTCGGGAAACTGTAAAAATCCTAGAAGAAACCATAGGCAGCAAAATCTCAGACATCTCTTGTAGCAATATGTTTGCCAATACATCTCCTAGGGCAAAGGAACTCAGGAGAAAATAAACAAATGGGACTACATCAAAATAAAAAGCTTCTGCACAGCAAAAAAAAATAAAAATGAAAAAAATCCATAAATAAAAAGAAAAGGGAGCCCAGTGTATGGGAGAACATATTTGCCAGTGATACATTTGATAAAGGGTTAATTTACAAAATACATAAGGAACGCATATAACTTGACAAAAGGAATACAAACAATCCAATTAAAAAATGGGCAAAGGTCCTAAATAAACACTTCTCCAAAGTGGACATACAAATAGCCAAAAGACATGAAAAATGCTAAAAGTCACTGATCAGCAGAGAGTTTCAAATTAAAACAACAATGAGGTATCACCTCACACCTGTCAAAATGACTACCATCAAAATATCAACAAATGACAAGTGCTGGTGAGGATGTGGAGATAAGGGAACCCTAGTACATTGCTGGTGGGACTGCAGACTGGTGCGGTTATAATAGAAAACAGTATGGAGTTTCCTCAAAAAATTAAATATGGAACTGCCATTTGACCCTGTGATTCCACTGCTCGTAATATAGCTTAAGAAACCGTGAAACGTCAATCATGAGAATACATGCACCCCTATGTTCATAATAGTGCTATTACCAACAGCTAAGATCAGGAAACAGCCCAAGTGCCCATCAGTAGATGAGTAGATAAAAAAAAGCTGTGGTAATTTTACACAATGGAATACTATGTAGCAGTAAAAAAGAAGAATCTTTGAGAAAACCAAGATGGCGGCGTAGGGTACGGACCTGTGCGTGCTGCCTCCCACAACAGCATCAAAACTACCAACTATAAGACAAACAGCTTTCATTCAGAACCATGGGAAGGCTGGCCCAGTGGAAGCTCTACAAACTGGAAGGAAAGAAAGAAGAGCATTGAGACTGAGTAGGATATGCAGAGGCACCAAGAACAGAGGTATGGAGTCACAAGCCAGGAGGGCTGCAACTGGATGCGTGGTTTTTTTTCAGTCAGAAGGGGTTACAGACTCTCGAATCCACTGAGTTTGTTTGGGTGGGACTCTGAGGTCCCAGACCCCTACGGGGAGAGGCAGGATGGCCTTGTAGTGGGTCAGAGAGCAAAGGAGGCTTGCTCGCCAGCACTCGGGGATGTGGAGACACCGAGGGAATCGCAGAGAGACGAGGAGTCGCGGAGACGCCATTGCCCTTTGCTCCACCCTGGTGACTCCCAGGGACCCCACCCTACTCAATTTGCACCCCCACCCAAGCTGTGCCAGTGGCACAAAGAGAACCTCCTGCACTTTTGAAGCCCAACCCAAAAAACGACACACCTCAACTCCTCGCATACATAAGGGATACACTCAGGAAGCAGAAACAGGTTCGGAGGAAGCCGGAGCCAGACCCGGCTGGGCCAGCAATGTGGAACCACTGTACCAGCAAAAGCACAGGCAGGTCCACCAGATCCAGTCTCACATGGGACGCTGGGAGACAGCAGACAAGCAATCTGTGCACTTAGTAGAAAACAAAATCCAGGCAAGCATACCAGATATTCAGCCACCAAGAAAGCCTGGAGATTTTGTCCAGCAAGGAGCCACCCAACAAAAGATGGAATGCCAAACTTCATGTTGCTTAGATGGCCCCCGTGAGGCTGAGATGGCCCCCATGAGACTGAGCCAGCCCCTGTGAGGCTGAGACAGCCCCCATGAGAATGTGACGGCCCCTGTGAGGCTGAGACAGCCACAGTGGGGCTGAAACGAACCAGGTGAAGCTGAAACGGCCCCTGCGAAGCTTAAACAGCCCGCATGAGGTTGAAACAGCCCTGGTGAGGTTGAAATGGCCCCGGTGAGGTTGGGACGGCCCTGGTGAAGCTGAGACGGCACCGGTGAGGCTGGGACGGCCCCAGTGAGGTTGAGACGGCCCCTGTGAGGTTGGGACGGACCCGGTGAGGGTTGGACGGCCCTGGTGAGGCTGAGAAGGCCCCGGTGAGGCTGGGACGGCTCTGGTGAGACTGGGACAGCCCCAGTGAGGTTGAAACGGCCCCTGTGAGGTTGAGACAGCCCCAGTGAGGTTGAGACGGCCCCCGTGAGGTTGAGACGGCCCTGGTGAGGTTGGGACAGCCCCTGTGAGGTTTAGACGGCCCCTGTGAGGCTGAGATGGCCCTTGTGAGGTTGAAACAGCTCCTATGAGGCTGGGACGGCCCCGGTGAGGTTGAAACGTCCCCGATGAGGTTGAGACGACCCCTGTGAGATTGAGACGGCCCCGGTGAGGTTGAGATG